AGTGGTGCAGGACTTGCAGGTCTAAAATAACACCTGTCTTCCCTTTGGATCAAACAATACAGTTGGCTTTTCTGACATTCATGTCTCAGGAGTCTTGAGTCAGGGCGTCACGGGCCCATTTCCTGATTCTTTGCTCTTCCAAGACCCTGACCACTGCTCTTGGGACACTCTGCCCTCTTCTAGTTGACTAAGCTCAGGCCCAGCTAATGGGAGACCGTATGCAAGATTCCCATGCCAATGTTTTCCTCTCACCCAGCTCTATGGCTTTGCCGTTCAGACCGGCATCACACAAGGCCAAGGATGGAACAAAAAGGTTGAGAAGATTTGGGGTCAGTGATGGGAAGATGAGGAACAAGTAACAATTGAGTCTGAAAACACTCCAGTCCTCCCAGCCAGCCACAATTCTTTGGCATAGTTTCAGGCATTCCCTGTCTTACCACATCCTCGCCACCATTCCTCAAATGAAAGCTGGGGAATGCCACCCACTCCCACCTAGAGAACAATTTCAGTTTTTTATGCTACATAGATCAGACTACCCAAGAGGATAATTGGGCACTTGACTCTATGAACTGGCCTCTACTTTTGGTGTTTTGGGGTTTTTTTCTGAGCGAGTAATGAGGAGAGAACAGCTATTACAAATAACAAGAGAGGAACAAGCAATACATTACTTTGAATGGCTTGGCCTTCCCAGACACTGAGTTTTCCTTGAAATAACCTGACCTGGCTAGATTCTAGATAAGGCGTCTGCACACTCAACAGTTTGTAAAAGTCACTCAATTTTTGAGAGAACCTGAAGCCTCGTCAGAGTAGCAGAAAGACTTGCAGTGCCGCAGGGTTAAACCAGCCAAGGAGGAGTACGAAACTCGAAGGCCTGCTGCCGTTACTCACTAATGATGAGTGCCCAACACCCAAAGAAACGGGCTTCTCCTACAAGTGCCACAGCGTCTCCCTCACCACCCTTCTCTGGAGTTTGTCTATAGTGACAGATTCATGAAAAAATGTCCAATCAGCAGCTTTAGGACAAAATGTAAAGGAATTTCATGATGCAACACTGAATGTGATGAGTGATTTACAAGCACACAGATCAGCTACAGTTTGTCTTCCAATCTGAGCCACAGCCCCTGTCTTTGCCATCTTGGTCACCAGTCAAGTAAGATTCTTCCTGGCTGGTTTCTCCAAGGCTTGTTCTCGACCTCAGACTTGACCAGGCTACAGCAATCCTGAACCACAATGATACTATTTGTGCTGTTAAGGTAACACACTATCTGTAACAGATAAACCCTGAAAGCTGGGTTCCACGCGGTCATTCAAGAGCCAGACTAACAAAGGCTCTGCCATCTTCACCACGTGGTTTCCAAGGTCACCCTGGCCACTGACATCCAGTCTGCAGAGGGGAAACGCGTGAGGCCAGGAAGTGGTTATGGGCCAGGCCTAGAAGTGATGTACATGACTTCACCTGGCATTCCATTGGCCAGAAACGAGTCACATGGTCCCACTGGAGTGCAAGAGTGGTTGGGAAATGTAGTCCCTGCTTGGGCAGCCTCTTCTCAGAAAGTTCTTTGTGGAAGACACTCATGAATCATTCGTGGGCAGTACCTCAGCTCGGCTACCATGAAGATGATAGTGGTGGTGGTAGCAGCCACCATTTACTATGTACCAGGCCCCTGTTAAATACTTAACAAATAGTTTGTCATTGAATCTTCAGAATAATCCTATGAAATACATTTTATTCTCCTACTTTTAAAGATAATAAAGCTGAGGCTCAGAAAAAATAAGTTACTTGCCCATAATCACGTAACTAGCCAGGGAGAAACGAGGACTAAAATCCCGGGATATCTGATCACAGAGTCCATGTTCTTAAGCCCTGCCCCAGACTGCTTCTCTGCAGTTTGGCTATAGTTTTTTGATTAGTGTTTTCCTCTTTGAGTTTTTTATCTTACTGCCAGAGAAGTTCCTACTCACCACTGAACTTGGAACTCCCCAGGAGTTAGGGAATTGTCTAGGCTCTATAAACTTCCTTTGTACTTTGAAGCTAATGCTTCCTTTCTAATGACCCTGGGATCAACCATGCACCACAGTCTCCTTGACCTGGGCTCTCTCATGTCTTGTATGCACAGCCCCGAGGAACTGACCTGGGCCATACTCACACCCAAGTCTTTCCTAATGAACTTGCCTCAAGCCACTTGTTGCCCTTGGAGCTCTTCCAACATTCCTCCAAAAGTGCCCTGTTGCTTTTCCCACTCACCTCTCCCAGCTCTCAGATGGCCCAATCTCTCCTCCTCACTGTTGCCCTGAAATTCTGTTTTTAGCTTTGTTTTGTGATCTATAACTCTTGTTCTTCCCTTCCGAAATGACACCTTCAAACCCTAATACTTAGGTTTAAATTGCTCTGGTCCAAGTTAGGGCCCAAGGGCTTCCATGTTGAAGAAGAAACTAGGGTCAAATCAGGAGAAATTTGCGAATGTCTTCAGTGTTGGCTTTGTTCTCTATTGTGGGGTAATTTGACCAGCCAGTGTCAAGCACTTTCTGATGTAAATTCAATGAAAGGTTCAGCCTCACTTTTTGAAGTATTTAAAAAAAAGAGAGAGAGAGACTAATTTCAGATCTTTGGCTATTTATTACAATAACAAAAGTCTGATTCATTCTTTTCCTCTCAGAACTCTGACTGTCATTGCCAGAGAAGGTCTCAGATCCTCACCTGGGATCTGGGAACTCTCCAGGCGACAGAGCTTGTGTTTTAAGCTTTTTCTCTGATCCAAAAATCCTACTTTACTTTGGTTCTCTGTTTTCTCCCTCTTTTAACTAAGAATGACTTTTCTTCTCTTCTCTGGAAACTGTTTCATGTGCCATGTCACCCTCCCTTTTAGTGAGGTGACACTTGAATGGTAAGAAATCTTGACACTAGAAAGTCTCGCCATACTGCTTTCTTCTTCGGGAATTTTCATGCACTTACCCAACTGAAAACACATAAGGGAGCATGTGTATGTGTGTGTGTGTCCTTTCTTCTCTTGACAACAAAAGCCTGTTTCCCAGAGCCAGCCTGGTATGTTCCCATAGTCATCACACCCCCAGGAATGTTCCTGACCAGACTCAGAATCAGGGTTGGTCCCTGAATCAGCCCTACTTAGTTCCTGCCTTTTATGGAGGAACTCTGGGCCAAAAAGACTCACAAAAACTATTATTTCTCTGTGCCCAAAGCCCAAAATCATCATTGCCGTTCTAAGTAGTCAGTAAAGCTTGTAGGAGACGTTTGGTTAAATGTGGCGGATTGAATGTGTATTTACCTCCACTGGCTGCCAAATGCCACAAAAATGATAGTAAAGAGGGAATAAAATATATAAACCCACAAGGAAGAGAAATTACAGTAATTAAATGGACTAGTGAGAACTGTCTTAGCAGGGCTGAGAAAAACCAAAGCTGGTGGGGGGGTGGGGGGGGAATCCTGAAGGAAACTGCTCTGGACTACAGAAGACTCGAGAACTGGAGATGCCTGGGAACTCTTAAAGAAGGAGTCTTCACAAGCATGAAAACAAGGATTTTATCAAAGTCTGTTAATGCAGAGTTTCTACTCTCTACTGCTGCATTAAAACCTACCCCAAACTTAATGGTTTCAAACAACCATATTGTTTTGCTCACAGTTTTATGGGTCAGGAATTAAGGAAGGGCTCAGCTGGCTGGATCATCCCTGGTCCTTGTAGCATCAGCTGGAGCAGCTGCAGTAGGAGGATCCACTTCCAAGAGAGCTTCGTCACTCACATTCTGGCACCTAAGTGGTCCTTGGCCCCGCTCTTCTGTCTCTCGCTCTTCTCTCTCTCTTGCTCTCTCTGTTCCCCCTACCCCAACCCTGCCCGAGGCAGTCTCCTTCTTCAGAAACTTCCACATGGTTTGGTCTTCTCATAGCACAGTGGCCCCAGGATAGTTGTCCTTCTTACATGGATAGAGTGGCTTCCAAGACACAGGAAGCAGAAGCTGGCAGACTAGTTAAAGACCAAGCCCAGTACCGGGGCAGCATCACTTCCACTGCATTCTATTGGTTAAAGCAGCCCCGGGCTCCATCAGATGCAGTGGAGTAGAGAAATAGACTCACCTCTTGATGAGAGAGGGCATAGTCACATTGGAAGAAGACCAGCCTAAGGGGAGAAAACCTACAGATATTGTCCTTCTGAGGACCCTAATGAAGAAGCCCATTACAGTTACTCAACAGTTCAGACTGCCTTACAGTGACCCCTTCCCACACACACAGAGCTTGCAATCAGCATTTTTTTTACATTCAGTGTCCCACACTTTAATAGGAGCTAATAGCCATGGATCACCAGACGGTTGAGGAAAGCTCCTAACATGAAAGGACGAGAGCCAAACAAACAAAAAGAAGTTAAGGGGGCCGGCCCTGTGGCTGAGTGGTTAAGTCCGCGCGCTCCGCTTTGGCGACCCGGGGTCCCGCCGGTTCGGATCCTGGGCGCCGACATGGCACCGCTTGTCAGGCCACGCGGAGGCGGCATCCCACATGCCACAACTAGAAGGACCCACAACTAAAAATATACAACTATGTACTGGGGGGATTTGGGAGAAAAAGCAGGGGGAAAAAAAGAGACTGGCAACAGTTGTTAGCTCAGGTGCCAATCTTTAAGAAAAAAAAAGTTAGCAGTTTGAGACCACAGACACAATCCATGGAGACAGAGCCAATTTTGCATCCATTAGAGGAAAGAAGGATGCTGTTTTTTAAGAAAGTTCATTTTGGGGCCTGGCCCCGTGGCCAAGTGGTCAAGTTCTCGCGCTCCGCTTCCGCTGCCCAGGGTTTCGCTGGTTCGGATCCTGGGCGCGGACATGGCACCACTCGTCAGGCCACGGTGAGGCGGCATCCCACATGCCACAACTAGGAGGACCCACAACTAAAAATACACAACTATGTACTGGGGGGCTTTGGGGAGAAGAGGAAGAAAAAGAAAAAAATGAAGAAGATTGGCAACAGTTGTTAGCTCAGGGGCCAATCTTTAAAAAAAGAAAGTTCATTTTCTTCAGCTATAAAGTTATGTTTAAAAACTAAAATAATTCAACAGACATTTAAAAATAACTCTTCAGAAGCAAACATTTTCAGCTCTTTGGGCTATTATTTATGAGTTACCTCCATATTTCTAACTAATGTGATCATACTAATATTTCTTGGTATTTCAATTTTAGATCTCATTTATTAACCTCCTTAAATAAAAAGAGAATTTAGCTCTTTTACATGAGACTAGTAGTGCGTGTTACAGGAAACTGTCCCGCCGAGTGTTCGTACTAGAGAACGGTTTGTTCACTTACTGCTGCCCGGCGTTGGTAAGACAGGAATTGTCCATCCAACTTGGAGCATGAACGCTGCTGGGGGAAGCTTAGCTGAGCCGCGCCACTGCAGCCAAGAATTTATGTAGAAATAAAGAGACCTTCTGAAAGAGAAAAACAAATTCCAATCCCTCCGCTCTGAGATGTGAAGTTGTTAAAATCTGTCTGGGGGAAGAGGATGGCCCCTTACTGAAACTAGATGGCAGTAAAGGACACCAACCTTCCTGAAAGAAGCCCTCTGTGGGAGTGGGAGGTTAAACCAGACAGAAGAAAGACAGGAAAGCAGTCTGTGCATGAGAAGGCGCAGGGTCGGGGTCTCGCGTGGAGGCCGCTCACTGTCTGCCACAGTGCCTTCCTCGTCCGTGGGGCAGCCGATGCTATCGCTGCTCTTCCTGACCTTCTCAGAACAGACTCGAGAACTGCGCATCAATAGATCACGCTGTGGGCAGCTGAGAAAGAGGAGGGCAAGTTGACAGGAGCCCTAGGTTTGGGGAAAGGGAGGAATACAAAATAAAAGGGGGAGCGGTTAGGCCGAAAGTATCACAGAGGAAGAACCCTGCTGCTTTCCGGGAGCTCGGCATACACAGCGATACTTTCCCAGAAAGAGTTCTTTTGGTCCCAAACTCCAGGCAAGTGATAAATGATAAATGGCCCCTCCAAGCATTTTGAGAGCAGAAAGCAGAGGAATCATTGATGTCTTTGACCATGAAGCTCAAGGAGAGAGCAATGTGAGGAAAAAATCAAGAGGAAGATTCGAGTTCCTTGTCTCCAACCCGCAGGAAGATTTGACCAGTGCTTGATGGAGTGGGGATTGGGGTGGGTAATTAAATAAGAATATTCCTAACGCTGTAATTAGTTATGGTACACCTACGTTAATTAAGTATAAAGTATACAATTCACTCATTGTAATTTGGTATCTTTTCAACAAATTGACACTTTTCACAATTCCTTAAAAGAATCCTTTCAACTGTTGCTAAAATGGAAATTCCTGAGGCTAGGCACGCTACCCTGACCATCTGAAGCCATCTTCTTGTTGGTAAGCAGAAATAACTGCATGCTCCTTCAGTCCACCAATTATCCAAATACCAAATGTATAGGTGGCCTTCAGAACCGAGCCTTGAATATTGCCATATGTATAAACTGAGGACGTTTTGTTATAAGCAACTGAAACCAAGTCTGGCTAACTTAAGACCAAAAGAGCTTTCAGGGGAGGATGCGGCAAGAGCTCACAGAATCATAAGAACTGACGAACAAGCAGACCTCAGGAAGAACAGATGCCTGGCACCTCCTGCAGGAGTTCGAGGTTCTCCTCTGAGGTACGTCCCACCAGTGACTGCTCCATTCGCTCTCTGCCTGTAGAGAGATGCAGATTCCTGAGGGCGTTGGGGGACAGGAATCTGACCAGGTAGCTGAGCCACGTGGCCAAGGGCAGGTGGTTCAGGGAGAGTGTTGGGGGTGTGTGGTTGTTAGCAGAAAAGCGGGGAAAAAGAGCTTTGGACAGGAGGAAACACTAGCCCCTATCCCATACAACCCAAGTCTCATTCTTTCTCATATACTGCCTGGCTTCACTTTTAAATTCTAGATTTAGTCTCCAGGCAGAGAGTAAACCAATGTTCAATGGCTGATGTCTGAATTATACAATAATTTTCTTGAAGAGGAAAAATAGTGTAGCAGTTAAGTGCATGGGCTCCAGAGGTAGACGGCCTGGGTTCCAACCCCAGCTCGCCCTCACTCCCTGTGTGACCTTGAGCGTGTTCAAAGGATCGGTGTATCTAGTCTTTCGCAACTCTTCTGAGCTTTAGCTTCTTCTTCAGTAAAATGGAGAGACTGTTTGCCTGTGTCAGTTAAGGTGACTTTGGTGATAAATAACAAAACCCAAATAAATGAGGAAACAATGCCTTATATGACTGAAAAGTCCAGTGGTAGGAAGGCTTCAGGGGCTTAACAATTTCCCAGAATGCCCAGCTGCTTGCCATTGTCTGCTCTGTTCTTTGGAGCATGCTCATCATTCCAAGGCTGACTGCACTGTGATGACAAGATGACTGCCAGAAGCTTCTGGAATTTCATGTTTTCTCATTTATATTCAATAAATGGAGGTGTCTCTTGCCTAGGCATCTAACAAAAATCCTGACTTTCCTCACATGGGACCGTATTTGTTCACATGCCACCAGTCACTTTGGCCAGAGGGATGGATCCAAGAGTCAGGACCAAACATAAAGGAAAAGGGCAGGGCGGATTCTGAGGGGGCGACAGCAGTCCCCAAATCTATCACATTATCTCCTAAAATTGATCTGAGGACTCAGTGTGCCGACAGTGCTCAGTAGGTGTCTGGCAGGTAAGTGTTGAATGAACGGGGGATGGGGGCTGTAGCCAGAGATCTAGAGACAGACAGAACTCAAGACAGAGGTATACTCTCCAAATTAAGACCTGTAGAAGCCCTAAAAACTGAAAGGTTACAGGACAACTACCTCTAATATATACAATATTAACCCCTAAAATAAGTGTAAGGAAATCTAATAATGCTAATTTTTCACAGGATGATCATTTTGATCAGGTTTTTCATATATCAAATATCAAATTCTTTCTGAAACACTTTTGGCACCACTGCTGAAGAATGGCCAAATGTACGTACTTCATCACCTAACGCGTGTGTGTATGTGAGTGGGCAGATGAATGAAAAGATATAAATAGATTCATAAATAGTAAAGGATATATTTCAACTGCTCACATAATATTTCAAAGCCTATTTAAACGCAGATACAAGATTAATTGGTTAGACATCTATATGTTCTAAGTATCTCAAAAATGACTCATCTTCTGAAGGCAGATTATAGAATTCTCAGCCTGGAAGAGACTCCAGAAGTCATTATGCCAACCACTTTCCAGATGAGGGGATTTAGCCTGAAGAGATCCCTTAGCCAGGAGCACGCAACTGGTGAGTAGCAGAATGAAACCAGCGCCCAATGTCCTGATATCCGGCAAACACTTCTCCACGATATGACTCCACCTCCTCGGTGATACTAAATTGCTTAGCAAACAAGATCTCCACCAATGGTGCAAAGACAAACTTCCTCTCAATCTTCCCCAAGCAAATAATCACAATTTTGGGATTAGTAAAATGCAGCTAACATAGGTATTCTCACCTCTTCAAATTGTCTAGGGTGGGACAGTCGGCTTGGAAGAAAGTTTTGTTTAATGCAAGTTTCCCACGCCTGAAAAACATGGTAAGAAGTGGGATTTATTATCGTTGCTGCTGTTGGTCAATAATAGTGAGAAATGACATGTTAATCAGCAAGGGACAAATTACAGCTATCATTTCTTTTTTCGCTAGAAGGTAAATAGTTGACATGTCAATCGCGTCTACAAGGACTTACTGTTTTTCAAGGTCCTACCCTCCAGTTTGCTCTCTGAGTAAGGACCCAGCGTTAAAATAGCTCTGAAATGAAAGGCTACTCTAGATATGAAATAATCCATGGAGTAAACCCAATCTCCCGCTTTTCTTAGTGCTCTGTTATTCTCACATCCAGGATGGCCACAAATAGCTTTTTGAAACTGGACCAGGTACAGAGCTAGTCAAAGAAAACAAGAATAGACGATAAAATTTGGAAAAGTCTGCCATAGATTTTAGCATCCAAGCACACCACCAAAATCTTAAGATTCAACAGCTTAAGCAGCCTTTTCTACGACTTAAGCTGACTTCAATGAATCCTGCTTTGGTTGACATGTCAGAAAACAGTACACCAAGGGAGGGACCCACAAGGAAGAGCCTCTCCTATAGCCACGCCCACCAGCTTAGGTCAGCGGTCCCGATACTGAAAAGCTCAACAGCAACAGAAAAGAATTCCTGTGCTCTGGAGCCATCTTTCAGGGTGAGATGTTTCACTCCTACCAGAGCAAAGTGGCAGAATCCACTGAACGTTGCTTCTCCCTCCTTGTCATCAGCCTGTCCTTTAACTCAACACTGAACCCCCTTTCTGCTGTAAGACAGATACTGAATTGCCGCATTATACTCTCTGACCCTGCAGAGCCACGGTACAATATCAGAATGTCAAACTGGGTCTGAAAAGAGCTTTGTGTGGGATGAGACAAGACTCTAAAGATAGCATAGTTGCGGAATCACTTAGCGTATAACCACAAACAGCGCTGCGCTCAGCTTGCTGGGTAAAGTTGGTGCCAGAACCCCTGGTAAATCTCCGGGCTAATTGTGGAGGGTGGGAGGGTGACCTTAGAAGCAAGTTGTACTTAACAAAGAGATCAGAAGCCTAAGGGAAGAAACCCAAGTTGGAAACCCAAATAAATAAAATTTAAAATTTTCTGATTTAACAAAAGCATGCTATCATATGACAAGGTGGTTTTCCTTAGAAACAGGTGCATTTCAATTTTGTTTTTAAATATTAAATCTTCAGAGAGTTACACAATAGCTGGCAGCCTGGAAATACACTGATGTGTCCTGGCAGAATTTCAGACATAACGATTTTTTTCTTTGTAAACCTTCCATCAGTGGGAAGGCAGTCCCTGCCAAAACTAAGGAAGCCCAGCTGGAGGCTGTGAGGCTCGGCTACGCAGAGGCGGTGCGGTGCCAAGACTTCGAGGCCAAAGCGGAAACAACCACGTTGAGTTCATTCAAACGACTGAATGATCAAAGGCGTGCACGCCTTCACAAAGGCAAAAATGAATCTGTTTAGTACTTGGCTAAATTCTCTACTGTTGAAGTAAATTTGAAACGAAATTCATCAAACTCCCCCTCTTCCTGTGGAAAAATCCTTTGAGTTCCTCTGAGTGTCCAGGAGGTGGCAGACGTGCTCTTTGTTTCAACTCCTGGGGGACTGCTGCCCCTCCAACCCAAAAGTTAACGAGAATAACTGTATCTGAGTGTAACTATAAATAGGAATGTAAATATACATTTTCAGGATATCAGCAAGTATATCCAGACATGGATAGGGCTGGTCTCACTTGATGATCACTGTGTGAGGGAGAAAATGTCTCCAGGAAAGGGTGAGAATCAAAAAACGAAGGCCGGCCATGCGTGAGAAGGCTGATGGAAGAACTCGAGCTCGAGGACTCCGACCTTGTGTATGTACCTCTCATGGCCTCCATGAGCCTCACCCTCCCACCACGCCAGCCTCCTCTCCTTCCCGTCATTTCTTCTTCAAGACCTGCACACAGGTTCCCGAGTCGTCAGTGACCTGTGGCCTCACCGCTAGCTGAAGAGCCGGCGGATGTACAGGGAACTCCTCCGGCGACGCTGCTGACCTCTCCTCAGCCGGCCTCCTCCGCGAGGCCAGCCTCCACGCCCAGAGGTTAGCCTCGACCCTGAGCATTAGGAATATTGATCACTGTTGGAAAAAATTGAAGCCGGAAGAGGATCTCGGAGTTCTCAGTTTTCTGGGAGGACATGTAAAGTATTGATACAATCCATCATGAGAAAGAAAACTCATTAAAAACGTAGAGATTCATGAAAAGTCTTCCACTGTTTATTTCATGAAGTGAAAACATTTATTCCAACCAGATGAAGGGAGGGGGAAAAACTGTTTTCTATAGCTCCACTGAACCCGTCGCAGCTAAGAAGAACAAAATCAAAGACTTCCTTTTCAATAGTAATAAATCCAGTCAAACCCTGTTTGGTGTGGCTCTTGACATGGTTTGTAAAATCTGAGGTTACTAGATTCTGTGTTTCAGTAGTCATCCCTTACAAAATTAATAGGAAGTGCTAAATTAGGACAAATGGCCTCCAATGGGATCCAAATGCTTAACCCTAGACTGGGTGGAAAGAGTGAAAAATTAAGAATTGAACAGATCTTTTCCCTGAGTTTCATGAAGGAGCCAGAGTTCCTCAAGCAGGGAATGTAAGCACTTGGGAAGGTAGCCTGAGAGAAGCAAGCGTTCTGCAGCCCTCTGAGTCCCAGCTGTGTTGTACTGGGATTCCAAAACATCTGGGCCTAGAAGGAAACTGGTCACGTGAGGAGAGACAGCGGAGCCGCTGGGACAGACGGATCCCAAGGGGAAGGAGAGAAGCGGCTTCAAGACAGATGGGCGGTGCAGTTGTTGACAGAGCATGGTGCCTGTCACTCAGCTTCTCTTGTGGCTTTCTTCCAGACTCGCATCTGATTCCCAGGGGATGGAGAAAACTCTGATATGTGTCAGCATTATTGGTCCCCTTCTCAGTGGTGGCTGTGTGGCTGGTGGTGGCAACCATGGGGCAGCAGTGGCCTTGGGCAGTGTCAGGGCTGACACCACCAGACTCTGCCTTGAGGACTGGCACTAGCCACAGGGGTGCGGGACCTTGGCGTGGGGAGGCATCTGTGCCACCACCGCTGCTGTTGCCATCAATGGCGAAGTGAAGTCGCCTTACAGTGACCCAGTGCAGGAAGAAGAAAACAGACCTCATGTTGTGACCAAGAGAGTGAGTTCTCAGAGAACTGGTTGTGGTCGGCCTAATAATGACCCCTAAAGATGCCCATGTCCTAATCCCTACTCTTAGAATCTGTAAATATGCAACCTTGCGTGGCCAAAGGGACTTTGCAGATGTGATTAGTAAAGGATCTTCAGATGGGAAGATTATCCGGGATTATTTGGACAGGCCAATATAATCAAAAGGATGCTTAAAAAAGGAATGCAGGAGAGTCATTATCAGAGAAGGAGATGTGATGACAGAAGCAGAGGTCACAGAGATTTGAAGGTGCTATGCTGTGGCTTTGCAGATGGAGAATGGGGCCCCCAAACCAAGGAATGTGGGTGGCCTTTAGAAGCTGGGAAAAGGCAAGGAAACAGGTTCTCCCCTAGAGCCTCTGGAGGGAGCACGACTCTGCTGGCCCGTTTGAGACTTCTGACCTCCAGAGCTGTAAGGTCATAAATGGATGCGGTTGTCAGCCCCCAAGTGTGGCAATTAGTGATGCAGCAATGGGAGAATAACACACTGTTGGTCCCCTGGTTCCAGGGCTTTCAGAACCGTTTGTGAGGAGGGGGAGCCTTGTTTCCCACAGAACAGGGGAAGCAGAGCCAGAGGTTCCCATCCTTATTCACAGTCTGGGTGAGGAAGGGGTCAGGTTAGAGTAGGGGAGACTAGATCCACAGGTCTACTTCACTCTCCAAGTTTTTTTGGCAGAACTCTTTATCTTAGATCTCACCTTGAATCTTCATTCAAATCATCAGCATCTGTTTTCTGCAACACTCTAAAATTCCAAACGAAAGCATGCATCACTTAGCTCTCTCCCCTCCCTTCAAGAACCTCAGAGAGGCAAGTCGTGCCTTGAGTACCTCAAAGGATATCACATGTATCCACAAGTGAGTTCCCCGGTCACCTGAAAGCCTGAGACCGAAGCCCCTCCTTACATTTTGGATACTAATAAGGTAGCACTTCTCACTCACTTACTCCAGATTTCAGTTCACCCCTTAAAAGCATGCTGCTGATGAGACATTCTGGAAATGTCTTCTGAGATCTGCCCTCTGACTACCCACCTGAGGTTCAGACCCTCTTTTCAGCCAGGTTGTCATTAAATATGGAGAGCTAGTTTTCAGGGCCCAAAAAAATATTTGAATTGACTGTACTCATCTAGTACTTTTGCCAAATGAATCAATTGTTTCTTCTCAAAAATTAAATATGTCCTAGATCTGAAAAACATATACAGCCATGCTATTAGTAGCCATTACTGTACATTTTACTTATATCCAACTCTGTTATCTCTGATAAGAATAGGGAGCAGGGAACACACAAAACATTGCAATTAACAAGTTATTTCCAAACTTCATTTTATCTCTGATATAATTTCTCTTAGTCCTTATACAAGGGCTACCAACAAGAAGAAAAAAAATGACAAGTTTGTTCAAGTTCCTTTTATTACTTTCCCTGACTGCCTTTTGGCAAATTTGTCAGATAATATAAAAAAAAATAATAGTAGGTCAAAAGCACAGTAAACACTTGAAAATGACACTCAAAGGCTGGCAACAACCAGCTTCATGGTCCATTCCAGCTGGTCTTACCCTCGAACAAGTTAGACAACCTTACACAGTCACAGCCTTCCCAGACGTCTGTCTCTTTAGCTCTCCTCCATAATCCTTCCACACTTGATTTAGTATTAAACATCTAATTTACCTGCCAGTTAAAATGTTTAAGATTGCTTTTTCACATTTTCAAGTTGAAATTAGCACTGGAGGAAATGCTCCCCATTTATACTGTGGGGTCAACTATTCCGCCAGAGAGGTGAGTGCCCTAGTTTGAAAAGCATGGGCTTGTGCACCTGTTAGCATCCTGCCATCTGCGACACCACAGGCGCCCATGTGCTGTATATCCCATCTTCGTTGCTTTGATTCACTTCGTTTTCTGCATCTTCTATTTCCTTCATCATTTAGAAGTGTCTTCTTCTTCCACCAATTTTACCACCTTTGAAGGCTGATTTATGTCCCACTTTTTCCAAAAACCTTCCCTGATCACAGCTGTCCAAAGAAATCCCTCTCTCCTTCAAACTCATGGCACTTATCTTATGTAGCACTCAATTGGAATATATGGAAAATAATCATAGCTTCCTTGTGATGCCTTTGACTGTTACTTAACTGATGTTATTTCTCCTGTTTTTTACACCTCTGGTCTTGCAACCAGATCATAAACTTCCTGAAGATCAGAGGCCCAGGGAACTATTGTTCTGTATTCCTCACAGCAACTAGCTCTGTGTCTTGCACATGAGAAACTCTCATTGATTTATTATTTATCCATTCAACATTTATTTATTAAACAATGCACCAATTCATAATTGTTGAGTGAATGAGAAGCAAAATGACTCACGTAATCTAAAAGCTGAATAATTCAATTCTTAACTCAGAATTTCTCTCTCTCATTTCAGATTTACTCTTTGTTAACATTACAGAGTAATTTCTCCATTGGCAAATTTAAACTCCAAATATTCTAAACAGATTTCAAATATAGGATGGCCGTGCATGTTCTTATAATTACAACTGACACCAAGTGTTCCAGATTAATTAAGTGCCTAGAAGAACAGATTTTGTAGGTTAATAAACTGCAGAAGTTACCAAGACTGACAGAGCAAAACTAACTCTACCTACAAGTTTCAATTGGTAAACTGCATGTTAAATGACAACACACTTGTTTATATTTAATCTCACTTTGTCTTTACAGAACTTAGGTGTGTGTTTGTTCATTCCTTCAGGGGCAATAAAATAGGTGCCCTTGCTCCAC